TACAGAGTTCTTGAACTTCTACACCTGCTCCTCTGCCTCTCCGTTAATCTTAATCTGAAGAAAGGGAGAACGAGAAAGCACGGCTTTTCACGTTGTACTCGGCTGCGAACTTTTCTAGGGAACACTGAAGATCAGTTTCAGAAAATGCTGATAAAACAAGGTCGTCTGCAAACAGCAACCTTTTCGACCTCACATCTCCTACACCGATATACTCATCGCCTTGGCAGCTCGACTATTCAAGTATCCTGACTATCCATGTAGAACACAAACGGGATAGGGAATAAGACGCAGCCTTGGCGGAGACCATTGCGAACGTTAAACGGTTTCGACTTGACACCATTTAATCTGTCGAAGCATCTTGTATTAGCGTATGGTGGTAGAATGGTCCCTAACAGCTGGTCATTGAAACAATATGTTGTGAGGCATGGTCACACATTGTTACGAGCCACTTTATCTCCAGGTCAACATGGTACGTATGTACTGGACAGGAGAACTCCAACGACTTCTCAATAGTCTAGAAGAGGGCGAATATCATCTCACATGCATATCGGCTGGGCCGAAATCCACATTGGCTTTTTAGTGCGTTGGAGTCCATTATTCCGCGAAACCTTCCTAGTACCTTTGCGTAGACTTTACTTGGTATGCTCAATAAAGTAATGCCATGATAATCGCAGCAGTCCCTGTGGTCTCCCTTCTTGAACAGGGTAAAAACAGCTCTCCATCTCCAGTCCTCCTCGTAGCCATTGCAGTTTGACAGAAAGATCTAAGCCATCGTATGCCTTGTTCACCTAATTCTTTTAGCATTACAGGGCGGATTTCATCGATTCCAGCTGCCTTTTTACTTTTCACAGCTTGTGGCTTGTATAATTTCATCAACAGAACGAGTAATATCCGTTCCCTTTCGTTCTACATGCGAGCCTTCCTATACATCGTCAGGAAGAGGATGTCTGAACCTGTCGTTCAAGACTGAAACTGCCGTTTCTTACATCTCGAAGCCGCCGACAACTGGCCTCTCAGAATACCTTGTTTGTAGGAATTTGACTCATCGAACTTCACCTAGGAACCAGCATTGACTTTCGCCACTGCTTTCGCTGCCGCTTTGCATGCATCGACATACCGCAGGCGAGTAGAAGGCTCTTTGTTTTCAAGCCATTTCTTAAACGCTGCTTTCTTCTTTTTAACTTCCAGTTGTACCTCTCGTATCCACCAGCACGTTTTTTCTGACATCCAGGCGGCAGGCCAAGCCGTTTAAATCCGCTGCACTCGGCGGCAGCCGGCAGTTATTTTTGTTTTAGCATGGTTCGCCCGGAATTGTCTTTAAACATTTGAAATGCGTAACCGGCAAGTTGTTCAGAAATGTGGTTTTTACGCTCAATTATACAACGGAATTTCAAATGCTCTATATTTGCGGCGTGTAGAAACAAAGGAATGCTTGTATAATGGGGTGTGAATGCGGCGAAGCGACGCTGAAATATGGGAATGCTGAGCGAATGGCTTTGGAGTAACTGAACGGGGAACAAACAAGCCTGTTGTTCACTGCTGATCATACGACTGCAATTGTATTGTCCCTAATGAGATGGTCAAGCGTGGTGTTCAGGTGTCGACCGACCTCGTTTAGGTGATTAAATTAAATCGGTCTAAGGCAAGGACATTACTTTAAATCTGAAAAAATGACTAAGGGCGGATGCCCATGTCAGATTGATAGTGGAGGCGTGGTGGAATTGTTGCATCATACTGTTTATTCTTTGAATCGGAAATAACGACTTATGAGCTGAACTGACAGAACATTCAGGCGAGTTTGAATAAAATCGTGAAATTGGGATAGAACATAATTTTGTCACGAAGAGGGCTATAAGCAGCTGAGGATCGTTGCATGGAATTCAACATTGTTTTCGTGTCTATTTTATCACCAAGTGGCATTTGTTACTAAATTTAGCAATAACTGAGGCAATAAGTCTGAGGTAGTAATGTGAACTGAATATTGGTCTCAGCCTGAATCGTGTAACGGTCACTAATACCAAACTATACTTTGTAACGAGAACTAAAATCTGTTTGATGAAGCAATCGCTAGACTAGACGCGTCGCAAAAGGGTTAAATTGCCCCTGGCAACCAAGTTTTTACTTGTTCAGTGAGTATGTAATTCATAGACACTTATAATCAGTAGTAACGAACAGTAAACAAAACTTAAACTATTACGTTTGCCTTAGATCAATGTGGTTGAAATAATAAACAGTCAGCCATTTATCCCCCAAGAAGTTCAGCAATACGTGACTATCGCTTGTGTTGCCATGGAAA